TTAATTAATATTATGAAACACAATCTTTAAAGTGAATTGAGTTAAGCTTCATACTCACTCTAGTAATTTATTTGAACGATTAAATGATTATGATTAATTACACATTCATTCTCACACTGGTAATTTATTTGAACAATTGAGTTTCAAGAGAACATGTGATTAACTATAATCATTTAATTGTTTAAATAAAATACCAGGGTGAGGATGAAGTTTAATTCGATTCACTTTGATGATTACGTTTCAAGACATTGATTAATTGTAATCATTCAATCGTTCAATAAATTACCAGAGTAAGTACGAAGTTTAATTCGATTTGCTTTAACAATTGTGCTTCAAAAGAACATGTGATTAACCGTAATCATTTAAATGTTCAAATAAATTACCGGGGTAAGTATGAAGTTTAATTCGATTCGCTCTAACGATTGTTACAAAACATTAATTAAATGTAATTACCAATATGAGTATGAAGTTTAATTCTATTCACCTTAACAATTGTGTTTTAAGATAACATGTGATTAATCGTAATGATAATTCTAATGCAATAAACTCAACTGCAACCACATACTGCAATCACTGAATAGCAAGTTCTATAATAAAAATTTTATTTCAAATTATGGTAAAAATTGACAATCTAATACTAGCTCAACTGTAACCACACACATTAATAAATAATTCTGATGAAACTTATTAAAAATTAATTACATAGCAATAAATAATAAATTCTGTAAATCTTTAACAGTAATTTGATTAAACAAATAAGATGGGTGGCACTTCACGCCACCTATCACACTAGTAATAAATAAATTAAAGTCAGGGCACACTTTAGAAACTTAATAGTAGGTCTCATAATTATCTAATTTCAAATAAAATATATAATGTATTTATTTCAAAAGAAGCGATGTACAAATTCTATTTTTTTAAGTATGTATTTATTTACATAATCGCTTACCAATGAATGTTTATTAAAAAAAGCCAATTTTATTACTGGCTATGTCTATTTCAGAATTTTAAAAAAAACAATAGGTTCTTTTAAACTCATTTATTTTTGAAAAAGTTAAATTCGAAACCCTCCAATATTATAAAATAACTTACTAGATATACATAAGTTAATAAATAATTGATAGATATATTATATATGAACTATTTATTTATTATAGTGAAATTTATCAATCAAGTATTTAACAAATGTATATGTAGAATTAACATGTACTATATATATATCTTATTTGTTCATTTTGATTTATGTTAGTAAATATAAAATCATTAGTTAATTTATTTAAATAACTATTAATTATAATATCAATTTGCCAATTAATTATACTATTTATTATACTATTGAGTTAATTTTAAACTGCTATTTTATTTCTAGTAAAATTTTAAAATTATTAATTTTTAAAATTCAGATTAAGCTAAATAATATATAGGTTAATACTGCTATATTTGCTAAGTTTAATTCAAATTTAACTATGATACATTTAAATTTTTTAAAAAAATTAAAAAATTTGATGATTAAAAATTTGATCAAATATTTTTAAATATTTGATTCAAATTCAAAATTTGATTTGATTTTGCGGAGTACTACTAATGGAATATTGAATAAGCATATTTGAGCTAGCTTATTGAAAAACACTATTCAAACTAGTTAGTTCAAAAAATAAATTTGTCAAATCTTTGGTTTATAGTTGTCTATTTCTAATATATATTCTTTTTTTTCAATTTGTCTAGTAACTGGATTGGTAAATTCTTTTCTAAAAGGTCTTTTTGTATTAGTTTTTTAGTTTTAGTTTTTGTATTTATTTTATAACACTATCTAAAGCTTGTGTTACCTTTTACTCAGGTCTTGCCAAGCAGGTTTTGGCTCTTCTAGCCCTTTTTTAAATTTATATAATTTTAAAAGTCTTACTTTAGATTTGTACCAGCTATACTAGCTTGTATTGTATATGATATAAACTGATTTTATATCATTAAAAGATGCTCCAAAGTATATAATAAACTTCTTATCATCACAGAAGTTAACTATATATATTAAGCATTTGTGTAGCTAGCTATAATATGCCACATATCCAAGATATTCATCAAACTTCTCGAGTAGTAGATATCAAAAGTTTAACTCAAAAGAGGGCAAATTGTAATCATTGAGAAGAATATTGAGTTGTCTATAACGTTGGCTATCTTTATTACACACCTTTGCTTTTGCTAAGACACAATAGAGATTTTTGCTTATTGTTGCTATTTATTGATTATGATGCAAATATATTTTCCCGGTATATACTGATGGTATGAATTCACAGAAATAACAAAGTGCTAATATATGGGCTAGGTGCTAAAAAAAGAGTCCAAATTAACAATCTTTTAAAAAATTTTTTTTTTTTATATAAATCAATTTAGAATAAGATTGGATTTAAACACAAAAGTAATTATATTAATAAAATTTTGTAGTATTGCTCTTTAAGGCTTATATTTTCTTATGATTTATTATAAGATTTATGATATAAGAACTAATTTTCCGAAGATCTTTTTTTTGTCGATTTGGGCCCTTTTCTCAGCACTTAGCCTATATCAAATAAAAACTTGCCTCTATGGTTTGCAAAAGAAGCCAGCATTATAAAGCAATACTATTTGCAATATCAGAGCTATGCATTCTATTTCAACTGATTGCAACAAAAAGTTCCTAACAACTCTGACTATGCCTTTCGAGATAAGCTCACTCAAGGCATCACTCCATGACACAATTGTTGAACCATAATGTAAGATATGAACAAGCATATTCTTTTGCATCTCTGAAAGATATGGAAGTGCATATACAATTGAGATGTAGGTTTCAAGTTGCCCTACTTTTCGAACAAGATCTATGGATGCATATTGTTACTACTTATCAATGGAAACAGGGCTACTGAATTCAAATATTTTTTCAAGTGCCATGTAACAAGCACCCACTAGTTCTTTATAACCAATAGTTCTCTCATATATATCTGCGGCAAAAGATATAGTGTTTAGATCAATGCATGTTTCCTTTACATATTGGAGCAGAAGCTCTTGATTTCTAATTCGTTAAATGGTCTTGATGTTATTTCACTCTTTTGTATAAATAGTGATATTTTGGAGTGGTCTTCACGAGGCCTAAGAAGTCATTTAATGCTTTTGACCCCAATGAGTATAAGTCCGTATAAGCAGTATGTTTCGCCTTCTTTGAGAAATCACAGCATTCCAATAAAACTATCGATGATAGCAGGGTCTTTATTTACAAGAATAGATACTTTGTTAATCAAAAGAATGACCAGTGATGATAATTGATTTTTTTGGAAAAATTCTCAAATGTAGTAGCCTGTGTTTCCTTATCGTCAAAGATGAATCTAGTAGGATTCTTGGATCGCAATCTTGAGCAAATGAAAGACCAAAATAAATTAATATCTTTGTTGAATATGACACCAGGACATAAAGAGATCAAGTAGACTTCAGGGTGAATATGGCTATATTTTTTGATATCAATACTATAAATATTCTGGATGTAATGTGTTATCACGAAAGCGGTTGTTGATTTACCACTTTGTCTATATCCATAAAGCAGGCAGAAGTCACTATTTAGGAAGGCATCGGTGAGTTTTTTAACATTATCTAGCTCAATATAAAAGTTTCGGACTAGGTATACCTCGAATCTGACTTGGAAATGTCGAACCCCTAATAATTGAATTTCTAAAAAGTTAATGAATTAAAAAAAAAAAAAATGATGGATTAAATAAAGATTATATATATATATATACTGTATAACATAAAATTAAGCGAAGTATTAATGAGCACAGCATATAGGTTGGAACTAGTTTCAATAATTCAAGTTTAACACATAAGTTTGATTTACCAATATATACCTAATAACACTTTCCTGACAATTATTTCCCCAACATATCCATTTCCTCAACATGACTATTTCCATTGTCGGTGAAATAGTTGTTGGAAAAATGATTATGTCAGGGAAATAATTGATGGGAAAATAGTTAGGATTAGTGATATAACCCGGGTTGGATTTGTTGCAACCCGGGTGAAAACGGGTGAGTCAACCCGCAGGTTGACCCATTGGATAATTTGAATTTGCTCAACTCGTGATCTGCAAATCAAAAATTGGCTGAATGATTTTTCAGCTGATTTGACTATTTCGATTCGACATATATACGTAATTTAAGATATATATCTTATATC